TATATATATAGATATATATATCTATATATATATAAAATCAGTGATGTGCCGTGCCTTCTGTGCTGGATGAGGCATCCCCCAGCCCACCGAAGCTCAGCCGCATCCAGTCAAAGCTCCGCCCCCTGCTCGGTAACCAAGCTGTGTGGGGAGGAGACAGGGAGGAGCCTTCCTGTCCCTCACTTGCTCGTCACTGGTGAGGCATCGAGATCAATATCCTCACTTGTTTGTTTTTTTTCTTTTTTGATTGGACAGCTTGGACCAATGGTGCTTTGCCATTGGTCCAAGCCATCCACAGAGCTCACGCCTCTAAGAGTAGAGGCTGTGAGCCCTTGCCTCACCAAGTTAGGTTACACAAGCAATAGGGAAGCCCACTGCTGTGTAGCCTAACTACCTGTCAAAAGCCAGATGCAGCGCCGTCTGTAATTAACAGGCAGCGCTCCTTCCATGACAGGTTACACAGTGGGGAGGATTTCCCTGCTGTGTAACCTGTAACAAGCCGATCTGATTGGAGAAAAAGCTGTCAGCTTCAGACTTGAACCTGACACCTTTTTTCTTTATAATATTAGGTGAGGCTCTGCCTCCCCTGACCGTACGTCCCTGATATATCTATATAGCTTCAACATATGCTTTAAATTGGGACTGGAGCACAGTGATACTGTTAGCTCATTGCTTCTGATATCTGCTATTCTATGAATGGAAATCGTCGCCGATGGGCTCACCATTGCATAGTCTATTCCATTCAGAAAATAGAAGGTACAGGAAGCACTAAATGGCATTTAGAATGAGTCACAGGAGTAACTCAACCCAACTGCTTGCTCTGTAAAGGTGCACCTACACTTCACGAATATCGGCCAATTTTCGTTTGTGATCACGTTTTCGTACGATATTCGCAAGGTTGATGGGCAGTGTACAACCGCAAATACTGTACAATCGTACGACTTTTGACTTTCCAGCAGGTTAGAAAACTTCTGTCGAATCGTACGAAATTCGCTAGGTTGGAGGAGTTTTCGTATGTCAAATATCGCACAGTTAACACTGCTCATGCGCCAACGAAAATCCGTGCCGTCAATTAACGAAATTCGTCCAGGTGATTTTGCTAACGACTGCTAATTGAACTGTGCGATGGTTGGTGCATGATGGGGCCGCCGTACGAAAATCGTACGACGGTTCGATCATCGGACGAAAATATCCGTCCGATGACCGCAATGTGTATGGCCAGCTTAAGGCTTCATATGCGGTTTCAATAAAAAGGAGAACCTACTGCTGTGCTCTTTCTTTAGAAAGCAGTAAAGGTTTTGCAAAACAACTGTCATGGTTGGACTCTGTACTCCAGGCAACAAATTCCACCCATCAGTGGATATCTAATGCTGCTCATGAATCAACACATTGGTGATCTTCAGCAGGTTTAATAGGTTTACTTTAACCCCTTGCCACCAGCCAATAGTAACTAAAGCTGACCATACACTATGTGAATTGGGGCGGTTCTTGATGAACCAGATGGAATTTGCACAGTGGGTGACGCTGTTGGCACCCTTCCAGCCAGCATCCCTCGATCAGCTGTTCGAAGGAGCCAGTTGGAAAATCTATGAATGGATAGAGCCGGCAGCCAGAGTGGCTACCGTCAGAATACAATGAAGACGGCAGGAGATTCCTCGATCAACATTCGTAAGCATTGATGGAGGAATCTGTTATATTTTTTTCATTCAGCCTGCAGTTTGAATGAAGAAAATATTACAGTGCATGGGCAGCTTTAGAGTTGGGGGTAGGCTCTTGATCATATGATAACTGTGACAGCCAATCACAGTAATCACATGATTAGGAGCCCATCTTCCCCACAAATATATACTTACATTACGTGTGCTCCGTTTAGCTGCAGGGAGCAGAAGAAGCCGCCCTCTGTAAGCTACAAGTCACTCAAGTTGTAGCTTATACAGTGCTATGGACTTCTCCCATGTGACTGCACTGGTGCTAGCAGATTGGCACTGTCACATAAGGATACAGCACAATCTCCAGCTAGTAAGCACAAAAGCCTAATTAAACATTTAGAATAAAAAAAGAGGTTATTGCTGCAAACTTTTGTAAATAAATAAATGCCACACTGCATGTTAAGGCACCCCTGAAAAGTGTGGTCCCGGTCTCTAAACTATTTGAACACTTAACTATGGGACATATACAGTATATATAACAATGGATAAACTGAGAGCAGGTACGTCTTGGAGGTAGCCCCATTCAGCAATAAACCCAAGACACAGACTGATGGCTGCTGAAGACCTCAAGTGGGTGTCTGCACCAAATCCAATGAAGAAAAAATGTCAGCAGCCCATTCAATCTATAACCAGCAGAAGGAAAAGAACAATAAAAAATTATCCAGCTAGTCAGCACAAAAAGTTTATTTAGACGTTTCAACCTTTAAAATGAATCCAATTCCAAAACCATGGGAATCAACACTTGTCCTAGATTGTTCATTTCTCCTGCCTTCTCCAAACTCTTCACCCTTTTGTGAATAGACCTGACAGAGTTGTTCCCACCCCTTCCCACCTTTGTGGCTATAGTGGCCTCCACTCTTCTAGGAAGGCTTCCCTCAAAGGTTTGGAGCATGTTGTCTGTGGCAATTCAACCAAAACAACATCTGAAGTCAGGTACTGATGTTGGATGAGAAGATCTAGCTTGTATTCAAAGTCATCCCAAAGGTGTTCAGTAGGGTTGAGGTCATGGCTCTTTGCAGGCCACTCAAGCTCCTCCACACCAAACTCATCAAACCATGTCTTTCTGGAGCTGACTTTGTGCACAGCCAGGCTGGAACAGAAAGGGGTCTTCGCCAAATTGTTACTACAAGGTTGGAATAGCACAATGGTCTAAACTCTCTTTGTATGTTGTAGCATTCACCTAATTGGAAACACTAGAATTCAATAATTTGGATGGTGATGATCAGGTGTCCACAAACGTTTGGCCACAAAGTATACAATACAATACATACAATGTACATACTTTATTTTTTAATAAGAGAATTCGTCTGTTTTCACATGTTCTGAACTGTTCTGTGGTTCAGATCAGCGTATCTCCCTCACAATCTCTGACCTGCTGCCATGAAGATGTATCTTACTCTACAAAGGAAGTGATTGTGTTCTGTGCGGCGTCTGTCCTACATTACAAGGATTTAACACCTGTCGGTGTATATATAACTCGCAGTCTCACGGCACATGCAAACAGCACTTTTGTTTTTCCTCATTTGACTCTTCTTTGGCTGTGTACACTTTTGTGGCTATACCATCAATGGGTCCTGCAATTTAATAATTCCGTAGCAACATAGTTTTTTATCACTTAAACAATAAAAACCACGGACTGGTTGGAGCAGATCACTGAAAGGATCTGATCGCTGTGCCACTCACTTGTCAGTGCTAGTCTGTAGCCCCTCTCCCTCCTTCCTCAGTGTATCTGCTACCTTGCCGCAGGCAGTGGGGACAGGAAATGAGCTCATTGAGTGACAGATACAGAGGATGGGAAGATAAGCTCTACCCTTGTTTTCATTTAACTTCAACATTTTTAGGGCATTATAGAAAGGTGATATTGAGCAGTGCCTCTTATACCAACTAATCCCTGCCTTATATATATATTTAAAGGATAACTGTACACAGAGAGGAGGGGGCCCTTCCTGTGTTCATTCAGTTGTGTGTGGGTGTCTGGGTGTGTATCTAGCTAAAAAATATATGTAAAACATGTAAATAAATACATTTGTACCAACAAAAGACTTATATACAGTAAATGCATTGCAAAATACTATTTAGTCTCTCCAGGTGTGAAGCTCCAGGTAAAATAAATAAATAAAATAAATAGCATGAGTAAAACAAAATTATATATGTATATATCCATAGAATATTTTTTAGTAGTAAGTAATATTAAACTCTCAAACTTTTTTTTAAATGATAGATCCAAGTCAACCAAATATATATTGCTTAGCAAAGCATTTCTTTAGATTTCTGCCTGAACACTTACAGTCATCATGTTTCCAAACAGCTATGGTGGGCAGAGGCACAGATCCTGCACAGCCCCGAAGCTGTTACCTCAGGCGGCATCTTGTGGGAGGGGGCGTCATTCAGAGCAGCATGGCCACTCTGACACACAGCATCTTTGTGAATAACCCTATTCACAAAGCTGCTGAAGCCGAAGTGAACAGAGCCGAACGACGTTTGGCTATTCACTACGGCTCAGTACAGGTGATTTCAGCCGTACATCAGCTGAAATCACTTGTACATCGGCTGCCTTCGGTCAGCCGAACATGCTTTGCAGAGCAAAGTGCAGAGGGACTTTCGCTCAGCCAATCCAACATCTGGATCAGCTGAGCCGAAGCTCCGGCAGCTCACTCGCTGCCGTTCGCCCCTATTCTCATAGGGGCCAAACGGCAGTATTTGAATAGCATTCGGCTCAGCTATTCTGCCCGGTGCCTCCGTGGTACCGAGCAGAATAGAAAATAATTGAAA